ACTGTGTGTTTGCGTGCCTCGTATCCTCGAGCTACATACAATTTAGACAAGTTACCGACACAACTCAAATATTATTAACCTAATGGTTGCGCAAAAACGAATTCGCTGCAATTCGCTGTTTTCCACCCACTTGGATATTATTTATTTATGATGAATTCSCAATTACCAATCAGGCCGATTGCCTTACTTTACTTGGCCAACAGCGCTAACAAGCTGACGCTATAAATAGTCAAACACGGCGGAGCCGAGGGCTAACGGCGGTTGTGTCAAAACCGTAATCAAATAAGTTAAATCTATATTTGGCTTCTATTTATACTCTGCACTCATAGATATTGACTTACCAGACAAGTGCAAAAGGCAGCTGACAAGCCAGGCAAGAGCTTGCACTCTGCACACAATGAGTTTGCTTAAGATATAAATGCTAATTGCTGCTAAACTCCTGATTTCTCAATCAATCAATCAGTCAATCAGTCAATTAGGCGACTTACTTAATTTAAGTTTAGGTAAATAATTGACAAAGAACTTACCCCAAAGCTAAAATCTTTGCCTTGACGTTGTTCTGTGCAAGTCTCAATCTGAATGATAAGCGGAACAAAGCCCTTTCTCTCTCTCTCTCCCTCTCTCTCTCTCTGCAAGAGCTGAAGCCGTTGCAATGAAAAATGTAATGCATGCACGAGTGACGCACGGCCGCCTTTAGCCTTGCAGCAGTTCGGCAGCAGTTTGGGTTTCGGCTACATTTGTAAGCGGATACAAAACACTTAACAGCTAACAGGGACTTTGCATGGGCAATGAGCAGAGGGCGGCTCAAGCAGTCGCCTAATGGCAACATATGCAAAATGGCGTCGCCTTAAAGACACAAAAACTAAAAAACGAAAATGGGAATGGGAATGGGAAAGGCAATGTGAATGTGGAAAATTTGAAACTAGCTAACTTAAGCCGAACGTGAAAGCACACAGAGGAAGCTCACATGTTTGCTCGCCATGTGATTGATGTACGGATGCGAGACAGCCGCTCGGTCGCGTGGGGCGTGCTCTGACCACAAGCAGAAAAAATTGCCACAGAGGTTGTCGAAAAGGGTTCGAGCCCCCGTCCGTTCCAGGACCGCCCTCGGCCCAGTTTGACAGATCTAGCTTAAGCCGTACGCAATGATTGTGTTTTAAGCAGAGCAGCAAAAAGCGTAACAGAAACTTCATTACGTATACGTCCTGTGGTTCAGGGCGAACCCTAAAAATTAATTGGCTGCTCGGCACGAGCCGACAGCTGCCATTTTGGGGTGCCCTCGATTCACTGTGCGTAGACATGTCACCGTCACCCGCCCCACCTCGGCCCCACTCCCCCTTCCGTGACACCCGCCCGCCATGAACCCTCTGCAGTGCAGGTAGCTTAAAGATTTATGATAAAGTCGTCCGAATGCTAGGCAACGCATAAAACTTTACCAAAGTTTGGCATTAGATTTCGCCATGGCTCATTGCGGCTCGTTTATCTATGAAATGAATGAATCTGAGTGCCACCCAATCGCAGTGAATGTGTTTCATAAATCAGTTTCAACTCAATTTCATGCTGGGAAATTTAAGGCGACTAAAGTGTTGCATAAATCTATTTAAATAGATGCTTGAATGTATTTATAAAATAATTTGAAATAGAAATAAATAAAAGTGGAAAAGAGGCAGACAAATATATTTCCCCATAATAAGATGTATGTATATGTATATGTATAAATATATGTATGTACTATACAGAACCTTTATTGCCACTACAAATTGTCTTTTATGCAATAATTTTACAAAAACTTTCACAATTTGCTTGGCATCTTATTTTGGGAAATATCTTTTGTGCGCCGAGCTCAATGGAGCTGTGACACATGCTCCAAAAATTTGTGTTTTATTTTTCCGGTTTAAAGCTGTCCCCAGCGAGTTCCATTTCAGCAGCTCGCTCGCTCGCACGGCTCGCGACACGCCTATTGGCAGACGGCCCGGCCTCTCGGTGCGTGTCGCAGCTTAAGCGCTTAAAATGCTTTTTGACAACAACAACAACAACAGCAATAACAGAGAGCATTGAAATGATAAATTTGCTTTTATCCCACTTTCTATTGCTCTGGCAGCTATTGTTGTTGTTGTCGTTGTTTATCTTCCATTTCTATCCAAATCCTAAGTACAGTTCTACTTTGCCGTCGCTCTGTCTTAGTCGTTTGTTACTGCTTCTTCTTCTTCTTTGTCGTCGTCATCCTCGTCGGCGTCTTCCACCTATTGCCTTGTAAAAATTTCATTGCCTACTTTTGGGCTGGCGGGAAAAATCACAGCGCTGCCAATTTGCGCTCAATTAATTATGCTCTTTATTTTGGTCTCTTTTGTTGCTGTTGTTGTTGCTGTCACTGGCTGCTCTCTCTCTCTCTCTCTCTCTCTCTCTCTCTCTCTCTCTCTCTGTCTCTCATTTTATTATTATTATTTGTGGTCATCTGCTTGTTTTTTTTTCTTTTTTGCGACCGCCTTTGTGTTTATTATGCGTTGCTGTTGGCATTACCACTTAATTTATTTTGGCTGACGCTTTGCGGACATTTTTCACTTCTCTTCAGTCTTTTTTTTCGAAAAATAATATAAAAATCATATTATTTTTGTTTACTGCTTTGCATGATATTCAATATTGCTTGGCGTTACGCATCTTTATGCACGACATTAATTGCACTTACAGTTATTAATTAGCTGACGCTTTACGCCAATTTACGATTCAATTTAATTATAAAATTATAATTGGCGCAACTGTAAGGGAATATTTACAGTTTATGCACACATCTGTCTCTCAGTGGGTCGATTTGAGGAGTGTTGGCAACTGCTTTGCCTGCAAGTCCTTGTGCTGCATCAGCTCAGAGCGGTTTCTATGCCATACCACTTATATATTAATATATGCACGATTACTTTTCGCCTCTGCCAAACCTCTAGTCCACTTAGCTATCAGACGAGAGCCATGCTCGATGGGTCTATGACATAGTATTCAAATTTTGGCTGCATTTTTCTGGCTTTCACTGCCAAAAGTGTCGCACAAATTCTCTTTATATTCTTTGCCCTTTGAAAGGCAAAAAGCGAGAAGATTATAATGCAGCTCAACAAGGTAGCAGCGGGTATACACGACTTAACTTGACAAGCATACTTTCGTTTTATGTATATTGAAATAATAATTTTCATCTATGCAGAGCTTTTAGGTCTTAGGTGTTGTATACGCTTTACAGGGTATTTTCTAGTCGATAGAAGCATATTGTGCACCTCTTTTGCTGCATTATGCAGTATTTTTCACACTTGATATAACAGGCTGCCATTTGTTTGCACAGCAGCAGACGCCACGACCCTTGGCCCGCTCTCTCGCCCCCGCACACTCAAAGATCGCTCGACTGCATTGCTCACTTCGGCAATGCCATTTGCCAAGTGGATATATGCGCCTGCAGGTGTGTCTCTGTGAATGTATGTATGAGTGTCGGTGCGTTTGTGTGTATGTGTGTGTGTGTGTGTGTGTGTGTAATGGCTCCCAAAGCACACAAACAGAACTGTCAACATGCAGCCGAGGGGGCTAACTGCTGCCAACTGACAGATGCTGCTGCTGCCGTCTGCGCTGCCGCCTGTGCTCCGCTCTGCTCAGCTCTGCTCTACTCTGCTCTGTTCTCCTCGGCTGTGCTGGATGCCAGCCCCTACGTCAGCACTGGGGCTCATCCTGGTGGCTCGCTTTCAAGTGCTTTTTCTATTTTGCCACGTCTAATGCAATTTTTATGCTGCACTGGAGCCAAAAACGCTTCCGTTTGTTTCTTTGCGCAGCATCTGTTTGCCCATTGTCTTCGTCAAGCTGCGCTTAACAAAGGACGATGCGCTTATTAAATTGTCGGCACCCCGCAAGTATTATACATATACATATGTATATACAGATATACGAACAAGTATATATGTATGCATGTATTCGCAGTGTTTCTGGTGTTTTTCTGGCGGCTCTCGTCGCGTTCATTCTCGCTCGTCTTTGTTTAGTCGCTTTGATCGAAATAGCTGGCACATAATGCAATTGACGAGGCGTGCTGCGACTTCGCTTCCATTGAGAGGCAGCTTCATTATAGTCGCGCCGCAGAATGCCGCGTGTCAGCGGCAGCCAAAGGATGTCCAAGGACATGCGCTGCGCTGGCTACGCCTTTGTCTGCTTGCGCCACTGCCTGACCACGCTGATTGCAAGCGCATTTAACGAGCATTGTTGTACGCTACATAGAAGCAGAGGCGAATAAGCTTAGTTTAAAGGCGAACACGGGCAAGGTGAGACATTAAAAAATACAGGCCCTTAATCTAGTGGAGCCAAAAAACGAAATATCTCTTGTTATTTATCTATTATTAGTGAATATGTAGGAAAAATGAAAAAAAAAAAGAAGTGGGAAACTTAAGGCTGACGCTTAACTAAGCGCGAAATTGACAAAGCTGAACATTTTCAATAAATAGATCCTTGATCCTTGAATCAAGTTTAGACTGAAGAAGTAGGAAGCCGCTAGTCAATTATGCCCGACTAGAAGATGCCCTTACTCCATTCAACTTTGGCTAGTATATTGAATACACCTAAAATTAAGCAGCTTGAGCGCCATCTAGCGACTTGAAACCAAACTACCAATTGATAATTCAAATTCACATTTGAATGAGTGTGTACATATGAATAGAACGTACCGGAAAACCCCATTTGGAAGAGATTCAGAGTGTAATAAAATGTAATTATGCGAAACGTAAACAAAAACATTTAAACTTTTGTCGGGAAATTCTCAGAATAATACCTAGGGTTGCTGACATTAAGCTGCTTTGCAAGTTTAAATAGCAATTGCAATTCTTGTTCAGTTCAGTTCGAAGAATTCAAAAAGTATGCGCAAAGCTCAATAATAACATTAGTTATGGATGGCAGCTGCTCGACACGTTGTGAATGCGGAACGGAATCCATTTATTGAATAATGCCGATATGCATAGCAGCTGCTGCAGCTGGCGCTTGGGACTTACCTTTGACCAGGGTGAGGATGCCCAGGGGCATGACGAGCACGGCGACCATCAGATCCGTGATGGCCAGCGACATCAGAAAATAGTTTGTCACATTCTGCAAGCGACGTTCCCAGGCGATGGCCAAACAGACGAGGATATTGCCCGCTGCCGTGCCAAACACCAGCACCAGGGCGAGCAGGGCCCAATAGTTGTTGGTGTCGAAGGGCGACTGGGCGGGGGTTGGACTGGGCATTGCGGTTTCATTGCTGAAGCTCCAATTGGCCAACGTCTGTTTGCTGGTGCTGTTGCCCGAATCGGGCAGCTGCCAGAGCAGCAGATGCTCCAGCTGCTCAACACTCATATCCAGCGTGTTCCAGCCATCCTCATCCTCGGCGCCATCTTCGGCGGTGCTGTCGCTGTCGCTGTAGTTGAGCGTTGCATAAACGTCCTCCTCCATGGTCGTAGTGTGGATTTGCCTCTGCTTTACTTGGATTTCACCAGCCGATGTTGTTGTTGTTGCTTGTGCTTGTGCTGGTGCTGGTGTTGTTGTTGTTGTTGTTGTTGTTGCATAGTAATTAGCCGTAGCATATGCGATTGGGGAAACAGCTTTCACGTGCCAATTCAAATTGCAAAATGCGGCGGAAATAGGCGTCGCTGCAAGGAGACGCGTTGAGAATGCAAGGGGCGCAAATGTCTGCACACGAAGTCCTTCTGTGGCCTCAATGCCTTTCGGCCAGGTTCATTACGTTGACGACAGCCCGGCGGATATTGGTGGCAAACATTTTACGACGCAAAATTACCGGAAGTTACGCGCTGCAATAGAGAACAGTAAATGGCAATGAGAGCCTGAAAGGAAACTTCAATAGCCACAGGAAGCAATGCTATAAAAACTGTTATTTTGTAAAGTAAAGCCAGTTGCACGACTTAGAGATAGTTGATGGATGTGATAAAAGAAAATGGGAAAAGTCCAATGAGAAACATTGCCATGACATAGATGAGGTCAGCTGATCAACTAGGTAGACATGGCATAAATCTATTACTATTTATGCATATCCATAAATGCCATGCAAGGGATCTACACATAACTCTATGTTAGCTATAAAATATGTTTCTATGTGTTGAATATTGAAAGGCTTTGATCAATTTTGAGTACTGAATAAACTTCAGTATTAATATAAATATTTAATTCTACTCTAAGAAATTCAAAATGCCATTAATATA